CAATAATAACCACAATGCATAAAGAAGTGACATTTCAGACCTAAAGAACAGGCTGGGTTCCGCTTCAGATACGGAACAAATGATCATCTACAAGTTTATAAAAAAGCTAATAGAAAAGTGTACAGAGATACAACAAGCCTATCTTTCTTATATTTGTAGATTATGAAAAGGCGTTCGATACTATAGATCATCATAAAATGCTTCGAGCATTGGCTGACTGCCTGCATTGACTACCGATATATCGCCTTGATTAAAAGTATTTACGAAACTGGTACAGTTGTTGTCCGCCTTCATGAAGATACCAAGAAAGTTTCGAATAGATCCTGGAATTTGACAGGGTGATACTATCTCCCCTAAATTGTTTACAGCTGTTTCTTGAATATATTTTCAAGCAAATGGAACGAGAGGATAATATGGGAATTAATATAAATGGGAAGATCTGAACTACCTAAGATTTGCCGATGACATCGTTTTAATATATCTGATACAGTTGATAAAGCTATAAAAATGCTGCACACGCTCATAAAGTGTCAAAAACAATTGGTCTTTAAAATTAACACCTTCAAAGACAAAATTTATGACCAACCTTGTAGTCAGCGGTAAAATTCTGATTGAGAGCCATAGCATCGACAAGTAATAGCTTACAAATATCTAGGACATGAGATTCGCTTAGGCCCAGATAATCAGACAACTGAAAGATTTTTAACCAGTGCGTTTTACCGGTTCTTACATATGAATACAGAGATAAAAAGTACTCAAAAACCTAGAAATACAAGAAAGAAGAACAGGAGTCATAGATGCAGTTGAAAAAATAGCCATGGCTAAATGGGCTTGGGGACGGACATGTTGCCAGATTAACGGATGATAGATGGACCAGAAAGATTCTGAATGGAGAACAATACAAGAGGCATATCGAGCATAGGACGAACTACCGACTAGATGGACAGATGATATTAAGCGCATCACCACAAACTGGATGCAAAGATGCTCAAGATAAAAATAAGTAGACAATTTTACGGGAGGCCTACGTTTCACCAGAGGACAAATATAGGCTTAATTGATTAAGTTGATCGCACCGAAAATTTCAAAATAAGCAAATAGGATAAATATTTATGTCTTATAAAAAAACAACATACACCCTTGATACTGCAGTTTTGTGTATTTACCAAACTCTCCAAGTTTGGAAACCAATATCTGCCCATGCCTATGTATCTTTTGTACAAAAAAGTCTAAGTAATATTGGTATGAAATCATAAAAGCTAAATGATCATTTGTGAAAGACTTGAAAAACTGAAGGCGTAAACTCCAATTATTGGCAAACGGAAAAAAACCGAACAGAAGGCAAAAGTTCAACATTACCTAAGGTTGACGAACTATGCAATGATCAAGATAAAGCATTTAGTCCCCATACTAAATTATAGATACTGTGTGAGAACTAAGAAGATACCAAAGCACTGGCGGAAACCCCTAGTGATCCCCTTGCTAAAACCTGGAAAAAAATCTAGCAGAACCAAGCAGTTATAGACCGATCTCGCTACTATGCCACTTGTTTAAACTGCTGGAAAAAATAATAATGCCAGGTAAGCTAAATTCATGCCCGAAAAATCATGTACTGCACAAGCACTTGCACGTATTGAGTACATAGAGAGTGGCTACAAATAAAAATTGGAAGAGCGTGGCAGTGGGAACCCGTTGGAAGTAAGAAACCAATATAGTCAAGGAGGACTTGGAACGTTAAGGCCCAATAAACAATGGCAGCGAGGGAATTAGGTGAAAATGACTGCGGCGCAATGAGAATCAACACGGTTCAACCTGGGAGACTGCTAAATTTAATATTCATGTTTGTAATAGTGTTGATCTTAGCTCTAGGTTTTTAATATTTTTTTTTGGCTTAAGGCGGAAATACACCATTCAATTCGATTGAACAATGTGGATGATTAGAAACGTACGTACGGAACTTATTATATCAGATTATATATTATATCACAAGTCAAAACGAAAAGATGAAATAAACGGTTGAATCGAACAAAATCGACAAAACTTGTATAGACGAGTCAACGTGGATGAATCGTCCGAGTTGTACAACGAAGTTGAACGAAAGTAGAAATTATCTCAACTCCTTTCAACGTTCAATTTTGTTGAACGCTTTTATTGAATTGCAAAATACATGGTTCATTTTGATTGAATCATCCACATTGTTCAATCGTATTGAATGGTGTATTTCCGCCTTTAGACTTATCGTCATACAGCCAGACACAAAAGAAATAAGACAGTATCCATCATTATAATTTACCTAAATGCCCCAAATACACAAAAAAGGAAACAAAAAGCAATGTATTAACTACAGGGGAATAACACTCCTAAACACCACCTACAAAATCCTTGCAAACATCCTGCTAGAAAGAACCAAAACATACACAGAAGAAATCGTTGGAGATTATCAATGCGGATTTAGACCGGGCCGCTCTACTATCGACCAGATATCCACAATAAAACAGATAATGGAAAAATGCTGGGAGTTTGATCGTGAGCTTCATCAGATGTTCATAGATTTTAAACAAGCATTTGATAGAGTATGTAGGGACAGACTGTGGACAGCGATGCAGGAACTTGGCTTTCCAAAAAAACTAGTCCGGTTGATAC